CGTATATATTGCAGAAAAGTGCATACTGTCAGGGGCAATTTGAATAGTTTTGATAGTGCAAATGGTTGAGTAACATGAAAACAACTTGGTGGTATGACACCGCCGGTTTTAAAAGGGTTTAGGTTTTTAAAGCTCTTTACATTAACAAAGCAACTGGGATGGATGGCATTCTGCTTTTATTTTGAAAACCTTTAGAAAGGAATGATCTGATGGGTGAACATTTTTTAGAGGTCTATTGATTGGATTTACATATTATTCCAGTTATTAAAAAACAAAAACAAAAAAAAACTATTTTTTACCAGTTCCAAAAAGACCTAGTCCTCAAAAGTGTAACGACTATCGCCCAGTCGCCTTAATCTGCATTGTGATCAAATGTTTGGAGAAGATTATGATTTGGAAGCTTAAAGAAGCTTAAAGGAGTAGTTCACTTTAAAAAAAAAAAAAAAAAAAAAACTTTTGCTGATAATTTATTCTCCCCCATGTCATCCAAGATGTCCATATCTTTCTTTCTTCAGTCGAAGGTTTTTGATGAAAACATTCCAGGATTTTTCTCCATAATGCACTTTATATACTTTACACTTGAGCGATCGTTTCGCTTGATAAGACCCTTATTCATCGTCTGGAATCTTTTAAAGCCCTTTGAACAGTTTGCAGTTTGTACTGAAACTGTCTTTTGGACCTTGAACCGTTTGGTTACCAGTAAAGTGCATTATATGGAGAAAAATCCTGGAATGAAATCCTGGAATAAAAGTGAACTACTCCTTTAAGGAAGAGGTTAGGGACAATCTTGATCCGTATCAGTTTGCTTATCAAATCAAATAGGAACACTAATGATGCTATTCTTACTGTGGTCCATCATGTTTTAAAACATATACAGAATCCTAAGACTTATGCCAGGTTGTTCTTTCTTGATCTGATCTCTGCTTTTAATACTATGCAGCCACACCTTTGGCTCTCCAAACCAAATAGCATGGCTGTTAATCCATAATACATCATTCCATGTATTTCTTACTGGTAGGATTCAGCAAGTTAGAGTCAAGCAGACTGTTTCTGCAGACTAAACTCATGAAATAGCGTGTGTATGACACGCCAATTCGTATTTCCATTTTTGGCGTGCTATCAAGACGCCTTTCAGCGTGTTTATGAACGCCGTTGACTTAACGTTATATAAATATATGACTTACCTCAACCCCGTCCCTAAACCTAACCATCACTGGGGTTAATGGCATTTATGACTGTTCCCTTACCATCCTAGGAAAGAAAAAGATATGACTTACCTCAACCCCATCCCTAAACTTAACCGTCACTGGGGTTAATGGCATTTATGACTGGAGATTTGACTGCGTGTACAGACACGCGGAATGACGCGGACGTTAATGGCGTAGACATATACGCATACACGCGGATAGCTCAAAATGCGTAGAGATAACACGCCACCTGGCGCGAAAGTGGCGTATATGTTTACGCAAAAGTCATGATGTCATGTTGGTTTCTGAGTGTAGGTACATTACTATTGGTATCCCCCAGGGGTGTGCATGTTCACCACTCTTATTTATACTGTACGCCAATAGTATCTATACCAATATAACCAATATAAATACACCAATATAAATAGTATCTGAGGATATAAGAGTCACCATCCTGTCATTTATATTTAAACAGCAGTATTGTATTGTATGTGTCCAAGACAAATTTATTTCGGGACAATAAAGCCCATCTTAACTTATATTGTCTTAAAATGTCTTAGATGATACTGCCATTCTAGATCTTCTGTATAAAGGTAAGGACAAACTGAGGAAATATTTTTTTTGATCCCAAGTTAGTAGCCAACCACATCATGATTAACAACAAGACCATTAGACAGGTTGCTTCGTACAAATACTTTTTCCGGAGTCTTAGACTTGCCGTTGCTCAGAGGTTCACGTTGCTGTTTTATCATGCCTCTATTGAATCCATCTTACTGTATGGTATGGTGGCCTGGTTCGTTTTAATTTGACAGTTACACCTAGATCAGAGTGGAGGAAAGTTCTGACAACCAAAACTTGAATGGTGGCTTTAAATTTTTCTTCCACCTGCAGAGTATAGATTTTTTGGCAATCATCAAACATACTGTATAGGCAGTCGGGTAGCATTATTAAGGCGCAACAAAAGAGGCCGACCAGCCAAGAATGGCAGTCGCAGGATCCAAGGGAAGCTCACAAGCATAAACTTCAGAAAGAAACTGAAAAACCTCTGACCAAAATTCACCCAGTTTTGGGCATGCCTAGAAAAGATGACCAAGAGTGCCCTCCGCAAACTCACACTTATTGCAAAGAGGGGAGATAGTAGGATAAAAAAAAGAGTTAAGTTTAACCCTTGAGTAATGTAATCTGTGCAACACCTTATACTGAATAAGTTGGTGCCTGGCATTAATAGAGCAGGTGTATATATTTTTAAGACATTTTTTTTTTATGCTTAACCCTTGTGCATCAATTAAAAAAAGTTACACATAGGTAAAAAGAGGACAAAAATGTCCATGTCAAAAAACTGTCATAAAAATGTGACGCTTTGGAGCACAGACTTAAGTTTGGTATCATTTTAAAGAAGACCCTTTGCAGATTATTGCTGAAGTAAAAAATAATAATAAGTAAATCCCCAAAAAAGTTATATAGGTATAAGTTTATGAAAATTATTTTAAAAAAAATATTTTATATAACATATATATATATTTAAATCAGGTTGAACTCAAAACTGCAATAAAATCAAAGCCATAAATCTAAATAGGTTGTGTTCCAAATTTGAGGATGATATCTCAAAAAATGAGCTTTCGGTAACAGTTTGTTTGGGCGTAGTAACATATTTTCCCCATTGGGTGCCAGCAAAACCCCACTGGTGCTCACAGTGATTGGATTTGAATTTGCAGTTTTTCTCTCTCAGTAGTCTCGTTTCCATCCACTTTTTGCGCTGTTATGTTATCGACAAAGTGAATATGCGGAAAAAAAACAATACGAAATTTGCCGTCTTTGCCGACTGTTTCCATTCAATTGACCTTTTACCGATAAGATTGTGTGCGTGATGACGTCACGAATGACGAAAGCGATTTGTCGCATATGTTTTGGTGTATCGCAAAAAAAAAGTGACTTCAGCCGTTTCCATAAACATTTTTTTTATTTATTTATTTTTTATCGCAAATTATACCTTTTGAGGTTCCAGTCAGCACACCCTCAACACCGAAACAAACAAAGCAGAAAATCGAGAGAGTAGGCTATTCAGGCAGTTAATTGAAATTTGCCAACTGACTGTCATTTCAATTAACAGTTACACAAATAATTGCAAGTGTCCGAAATATCAGAAGACGACGGCAGAATGAAGCAGTTGCTCATCTGATAGGGCTCGAAAACTACCCTTATTATGCGACGAAGCCCAAGCGTCTGGGAGAGACCACGCAATAAGGCGTTCTGGGAGGAAGTTGTGGAGAGACACTTTACAGAAAGTCTCTGGGTGCAACATTTTAGAATGACACGGCCGACGTTTGAGATGCTGTGTGGATTCATTGGTCCTGATGTTGCGCCTACCCCAGGTTGCCACCGACCACCGGTTCCAACACGAAAGCGGATTGCCATTGCCCTCTACAAGCTGGCAACCTGCGCCGAGTATAGAGTGGTAGGCGAAACTTTCGGGGTTAGTCGGGGTTAGATTTCTCTGTCGTTTCCCGTCAAAAATACATGTTATATCATTTTCTTCCATTAATTGGAGAGGAAATTATCACGTGACACCACATTTTTTTGCGTGAAAGCCCTTTTTCTCGACAAAAAGTGTTTCCAAACTCGTTTTTCGCGACATTTAAAATATCGACATAACATTTATGCGCCAAAGTTAAACGGAAAAGGATTGTGTCGACATTTGCAAAAAAAAATCGATAATTGCCGTTTCCATCAGCTATATCGGTAAACATTTTGATGCGCAAAACCTTTTTTCGCAAAAAAACCCTTGGATGGAAACCTGGCTAGTATTACAAACACACACATATTTTTTTTTTATAACACACATACTAAACACACTCTGACATCCATACCAACACACCCACACAAATATCATTGCAGAATTTATCCAGTTGGCTCTATAATATGCCGAACCAGTAAACAGGAATAAAGTGATATTTGTTTTATAGGCCAAACTTAAAAAAAAATTTGAAGCCTTGCCCTCAGAATGAAAGCCTCTTAACAAAGATTGCATAATTTTATAGTTAACTGAACCGGGGATTAAAAAAGGCAGTTTTAATGGGTTTCAATGGGGACATTCTTGTCCAAAAGGGGCTGAGAGGGAGTATTTTTTGTACCTAATGCAAAAAAATATATTTTTAAGAAAATGACGGTGAAATAGTAAAATTCCAATAAAAATACACACCTGTGCCAAGTTTTTTGCAGTTAGCTTTAACACAGGCAAAGTGATCAAAAAACAAAACTGAAAAGGACAAAAATGTCCATAAGGATGCACAAGGGGTTAATTAGTCAAGAGCGGTGAGTGAGTTTCTCTTTTTCTTTTATTGTTTGATTAACATCAATGATACAGACAACAGCAGGCAAATTAGACTAATTGCATGGATCCAGTTTTCTCCCACCTTCTTAGTAAGTGTGTATGTGACAAATAAGTGTGTGTATTTGGCCAAAAAGCTGTGTAAGATAAGTCAAATGACGATTGCATGGTGTCTGTCATTCTGCATCACTTGCTGTCGGTGTAGATGCAGCATTAAAATGCGTTCATTTTAATTCAATGAAAACAGTGCTATAGCAATGGCTGCTCCTGACTGGATACAAGGTTATCTTTTCTATACTTTCACAAAGCCCCACTGACGTTCATTATAGACATTATATTTTGACAAGTCATATTTTACCTTACTAACATTTCATTTATTACAACATATCTTACTGTTAATTGATTGGACTGTGTTGGATAGTTGCAACAAATTCAATCCAACTAGTTTGTTTTTCATTTTCTACCAACGTGTGCTCACCCCACAGCGGCTGACTCTGCTCCATGTGAACAGTAACCAGTGTCTCGACATGCCTTCTGAAGAGGATAAGATGGTTCCCACTCTCAGAGACTGTAGCGGCAGGCGCTCACAGCAGTGGATCCTGAGGAATATGACGCTAAGTGTCTGACAGAGCCGGCAACATCCATTTCAGACCTGAATCTCGGCACTCACCACACAACACGAGTCCTGGAGTCAGGTTTATGGCCTTCTTCACAGCTCTGTGAATTGTCATTTGCTGGTTCATGATCAAGTCCAGCCATGCTTTGATCAGAAGAACAACTCACAGCCCATTTACTGACCCAATTGTGGCAAGGCTTGTGTCTCTGTTCATGTCTGGACTGCATCCTTCAACTCTCAGATTCACTGGTCTAGGGTCAGATCACAGCCATTGTCCAGCTTGGCGAGGTTTAAATGCATGCTGTCTCTGATCTGTGTCACTGGCTATCTATGCTGCTCATCATCTGTGGGAGTTATGGTGCCTCTTAATATCCTACACGTCATGTCTTTTACAGTAGCCTATATGTTTCTTTAGAGATGGAATGATTGTGTCAGCCTCCTCTGTGCTGAAGTGCATTTAGCACTAGGCAGAATCTTCAGCTCCACTTTCTTTAAAGCACTTGAAGGTATTGTGTGTTGGTCAGTGGATTATACATATTACTCGCTGCTGTTTCTCAAAACTATCTTTATCTCTTTCAGTGAGGCTGCAATATATACTTGACCTGCCTTAAGGAAACTTGACCAGAAAAGCATGTAGAAAAAAAAAAAAAAAAAGAAAAAAAAAACGCAGAACCAAACATATCCAGATATTCAAGGGAAGATTTTTATTTTTAAAAAAGCAGCTCATTTTGAAGTTGCATTTCATCTTAATATATATTAAATAGTTCATGTGATTTATGGGTGTATGATTTATCTGTGTTTTATGTAGTTTATCTAAATTTAGTTAGATAATAAGATATTGGAAATTGCACAGGGAATGCAAAAATTCAAACTTGTTGTTTGAAAAGAAACATTTCATTATTTCTACACATTTAATCATGTTATCATGTGCAAAAAGAAAAAAAGTGGCTTCATATTTAACCCCAAAACAAATGACCAGGACATTTCTGTTTTCAGGGTATTTACTTATCAAGTCCATTTTATTTTGATCAAACATTTCAAATGTAGTGATTGTGTGTCTACATTTGGTAATGTGCTACCATTTGTGTATACCAATCATGGGAGAATTGTAGGAAGCAACATCTCACAGGGAAAACTAAAACAAATCATTTGAAGCTTCATAAACACAGGTGTGACTGATGGATGGTCCTGGACACTGAACTGTACAAATTATGAACTAGGCCTTTTAAGCATTGATGTACATATTAAAGCAAATATTTTTTTAAGATTAAATCTAAAAACTCCAGTGGAAAAATCGATACTGCTGTAATACTGCTTGGTGTATATAAAATGTTTGGAAAATACTGTACAGCTTTATTCCACTGCTCCTATATGTGCACATCTAATGCATACAGTTTGTATTGTCAATGTTATATCGATGTCTGTTTAACACACACACACACACACACACACATTTAATTTTAATAATATTGATTCTTGAATTGGGGGTTTAATGGTTTTGTGTACATGCTCACAATTGAGAGGGGTATCATACAATTATATGTCAATGATTAATATGAGCTATCGCATGCATGGTACAGTCTGTACATTCATGTATTTTTTTTATCTTCATAAAAGCGGAAAATATGTGACTTTGTAATCGACTTAATGTTAACTGTTTTGTACTTTTTTTGTCACAGCTTTTTCTCTCAACTAAACTCATGTTTAACAGATTAATATAACTGCTAACTGTAATAAACCATTGTTGATAAATGTATCACCTTCTTATTAATAAGTTAAGCAAAGCGAAACTACTACGTCTGTGGGTGTCTCTTTTTTAATAACCCAGATGTGTGTGTGTATATATATATATAGTATATAAAGGAAGTATCTGGACTAGGTTATCCATTGTGGTTTGTAAGTTATCTACTGTAAGTGGATTCTGAAATGAAGAGAAATGGATACGTCACCAAAATGGAACTATAATTTGTATAGTTCTAATTCAGTCAAGTCACCTTTATTTATATTGAGCTTTGTACAATTGTTTCAAAGTTTTACACAGATAACAGGATAATGTTGTTCAGCTGAAGTCATTTCAGTGCTGTTTCAGTTTCGTTGTAAATATCATCTATTAAATTAGTTCATTTCATCTATAAAGCAGTTCTGCAAAAAAAAAAAAAAAAAAAAAAAAAATCATCCAGCTCAGTTCAGTTGTCATACAGCAGCGCCAGTACAGTCGGATCAATAATATCATAAAATATTACGTCTCCCAAATTAAGCAAGCCATAAAAAACTAGGGGTAAACCAGGATCAGTCAGGTGACCACACTGACCTGACTTAACCTCAGGATAAGGATATGGCAGACAGACTAATATAAGTTTAGATGCCATCTTCTTATGATGTAACAAGTAGATCAGGTGTTATTGGAAGCGTTCCTGATTTGAACTGCTTTTGAATAATATAAATTAACAATGTGCTATATGCCAGGTTAAAGAGATGGGGTTTTAGTCTAGATTCAAACTGACAAGAGTCACAAGACTCAAACTTAATCTAGATCTAAATCTTAGTCTAGATTCAAACTGACAAGAGTGCTTCCTGAATAATGCTAGGAAGACTATTCCAGAGTAGAAAAATTATCTACCGCTTGCAGATTTTGACATTCTAGGTATTATCCAACAGGCCAGAATTTTAAGATTGCAATAGACATGAAAATCTATAATGTGACAAGAGCTCACTCAAGTACTGAGGAGCTAGACCATTTTGTGTTTTTTTTTTAAATAATTAGCAAGATTTTAAAATGTATAAAATGTTAGGGAGCCAATGCAATGTTGACATAATTGGGGACATACTTCCTGGTTCTATTAAGAATTCTAGCTCCTGTGTTTTGGACGATCTGGAGTTTGTTTATTAAGCGTGCTGGGTAACCACCCAGAAGAGCATTACAATAATCAATCCTTGAGGTCATGAACGTATGAACTAGCTTTTCTGCATTTTTCATTGGCAGAATATGTTGTAATTTAGATATATATTTTTAAGATGGATTTTTAAAAAAAAAAAAAGTTAGAAATGTGGCTTTCAAATTAAAGATTGGTATCAAAGAGCAAACAGCATTAGGATCAGTTCTTGCGTTTAACATATAGGGAATTGTTTTTTTGTTTTTTTTTCCAAATCATGTTTCATCAATGTGTCTGTGGTTGTGACTGGAACACTTCATTTTGAAAGTGTTGCATTTGTACAATGCGCAAGTATGCCTGTGAAATAAACTGATGCTGCTTATAAAAAAGGGACAAGAATGTTGAAAATTGTTTTCTTCACTTTTCCATGGGAAATTTCTATAAAAAGAAGATTTGAAATAAAGTAGATTAAGGTTTTCACTGTAACCTATGTAGAATACTCAGGGCCAGTGCATTTGCGCAGAAAGTGCTTAATGTGAAAACTTTCCCTGTCCCCACCCAATATTGTAAATTGTGCGTATTGAATTGAATGGGCATCATCCTCTCTCTGCTGATTCTATGACTGTTGCCAGTCCTGATGCCAATAATTGTTATGTAGCGAGGAGATTAACAAATGCTGAAATTGAATGTGAATGCTGAGTCAGAGAATCAATGTCATCTTTGATTTCTTCCTGTAACTGTAATATTGCGTAGCTGTATAACACTTAATGATTTAATTTTCACTCAACGTGAAAAAGTGTGATTCTTGTGACAAAAATATTTTCAGCTCGTCTCCTTAGCCTATGTGTCTTGCTCGGATTACTGCTGCCATTTCACTAGGAGGCATATACAAGGAAACCCACTTTCTATATTACACCTGCTTTTCAGAGGCGGAGAATTTTCAGGCAAAATAGAGGGAGCGGTTTCACCGGCTTTTTCTGTACATAACGCAGAATACATAATTAGCAGCAGTTTACACTTCCCCTTCCATCTCTTTATGTGACACTCCCACTTTCCCCTTGACTATCCCATGATTGCATGACACGAAAAGCGCATTTTGCCATTCTCAGTTCCAGTTCCCGTCTGCGCTTTCATCTCGGTGGGTCCCGTTCGTACATACCTCGCTATGGTTTTATGCGTGGGAAAAAAAAAATCTGTGGGAAAGGTCTCATCTCTGGGCCATTCGTCAACCCGGGAACAGGACATTGCATGGGGAGAGGAGGGTGCAAACCACCGTTTCCCCCACTGACTTAAAAACAAGGAGTCTATCCAAAGTACAGGATCCCCGTACAACAAAAAAGAATTGTTGTCAGGTACCTCGACTTCCGAAGAAAAGACCCCCAAACAACACACCTTGGGCTGAGTTGAGACTGGCGGGTGCACCTTGCTGCACACCAAGCTTCTACCAGCTCATCCCTCTAAAAGTTCATACAAGAACTGAACAGAGATCATCCTCACTAAGGATAAACTTACTGCAGTCAGTTAGGGTCTGTCTTGGTCTAACAAGAACAATTAACGAGAATCTGTTAACAGAACAGATACTCCAAACAAGATGGTTGAGGTGAGAATCAGGTTTATAAAGCATTAACCTCCATGGCTGATTTTTCTTATCATTGCAAAACAGACTCAAAATACTGAAATTGATTTTGATCTTACATATAAGTGTATTATACACCATTAGATTCTGTTAAGGATACTCACAATAAAAACAAAGACTAAACAGGCAGGGTATGTATACACACAGAACATGACAATCATGATAAGGAACAGCTGAATGCAATGAACAGTGATTAGAGGCTGACATCTTTATCGGGAATCCTGCGGGATGGGAAACAGACAACAGTCCTTCGGGCGGCCAGGGCAGTGAAGACCCTTCGGGCGGCCAGGGTGGTGAAAACCCTTCACGCGGCCAGGGGAACGTAGGTCGTTCAGGCGGCCAGGGTGGTGAAGACCCTTCGGGCGGCCAAGGGGGTGCAGGTCGTGCTGGCGGCCAAGATGTCGACGTCACCTCGGGTGGCCAGGGCGGAGGTTTAGGAACAGAAGACACTGGCTCCAACTCTGGAACAGCAGACACTGGCACCGTGAACCGTCTCTGACTGGGCAGATGGGACGTGACCATTCTCTGACTGGGTAGACGGGACGTGACCATTCTCTGGCTGGGCAGACGTGACGTGAACCATCTCTGCCTGGGCAGACGTGACCTGAACAGTCTCTGACTGGGCTAACACAGTCTCATCCCAAAAAGTCATATAATTGACGTTTTGGGACGTATTTTGACCATACGTCAATATCAGCCTTTTTAGGGCCCCCTTAAACGTCGGTAGATGGTGATCCTGGGCCGTCATACAACTGACGCTTTACCTTTAACGTCAGTTAGGTGACGGGTTAGGTTTAGGGTTAGGTTTAGGTATGGGGTAGAGTTAGGATCCCATAACCTCATCTACCGACGTTTAAGGGGGCCCTAAAAAGGCGAATATTGACGTATGGTCAAAAGACGTCCCAAAACGTCAGTTATATGACGTCTTGGGGTGAGACCGGGTTGACTGGGCAGACATTACCTGAACAGTTTCTGACTGGGCAGACGTGACGTGAACCATCTCTAACTGGGCTAACATGACCTTAACAGTCTCTGACTGGGCAGACAGGACGTGAACCATCTCTGGCTGGGCAGACGGGACGTGAACAGTCTCTGACTGGGCAGACAGGACGTGAACCCTCTCAGAATCAGCCTCCGGAAAAGCGGCTGGCTGCTGGGACACGGCCTCCGGGCTTTTGGGGATGCTAGAGATCTTCCCCCTCCTCCGCCGTTTCTGCTGGTGAAGTGCATGCTCTGGGCTGGATGGAGACAGAGGCGGATGGAACTCTGGACTGGATCTCACGAGCCCAGGGTTGAAGAGGGGCCTGAGTGGATAATGGAGTTGGGATTCCTCTCGACCACTTCCTCCACAGCGACCTCCACGGGTCCCACGAAATTTGACCAACCGGGTCCCCTCAAAAAACTCCCTTTTCTCCCGCTCGGTGGCTGGGGAAGAGATATTAAGAAACATACTGCTGGATCTGGGTTTGACAGAGTCCTTCTGTCACAAAATCACACAAGGCAATCAGAAGATCCAATAGCAGGTAAGTTTAATTGGGGAATCCGTACTCACAAAACAGTTCAGGCACTGGTCAAAATCCAAAAGGCTATCCGAGACAGAAACAAAACAAAGAACAAGCTAAATATGTGAAATATTTCCTTGAAATATAACCTCTGTGAAATATATAAAGGACTCCGTAACAAACACTAAACAGGCAGAGTATCACAGAACATGATAATCATGATGGGGAACAGCTGAGTGACAGATGACAAGACATGCCAACATGTCAGACCAACTGCAGCAAGGAGCAATTTAAGATATTTAAAGATGAATTTAGGCAAAATGGCTGAAAAATCACATACAATTAACTAAAAATGTGATTAAATGGATTATCATTTTAGACCAATAGGTGGCGTAGTTACAAAATCGATGTGATGTGGTCAGAGTTTGGTGACGATGAAAAAATCTTCAGACCCGTCGCATTAAAATTAAATACAGAGATTTATTCAAAAGTTATAAGCATTATTAGAAATGTTGTTATAGCTTTGACCAAAAGGTGGCACTATCTTGAAATCTTTTGAGTCTCTTACAGTACAGTACAAGAGAGTAGAAGAGAGTAGACTTGACGTGAAGAGAGAAGCAAAATAAGGAGAGGTAAGGGGAGGGAGAGGGAAAGAAAATGCGACCGCCTTAGTTGAGTGCCAAAGAAGAGCCTTGTTATCACTGTGCAGGCAAGTGGTGGTGGTGTAAACGTGCAGGGGTTTTCTTGGCACACTTTATGACAATGCCGTTTTAATTTGTTCATGATGTCATCTCAATGGATAGACAATCTTAGTGGTTTCAGATGTGACCTGATGTTACATTTAAAGAGTATTAAGGAGAAGATCAGCAGATGAACTGACAGAACTCCTCTCTAAAACACTAGTTAGTAAGACCCTCTGTTTCACGTTGAGACTTGTTTTGTGTTTCTTTAAATAAACACTGCAAAATAATTTCTGGAGATTATTTCTCCAGGGAGAAAGAGTGAGGCAGAGGGAGACATGATTATAAATACAGTGTTTGTACATTTTGTGATTTGTGTGTGCATTTGTGTGTGTGTGCATCTCTGTGGGTATTATGGTTTCGTATATTTGAGATGATTATACAAATGACAAAAAAAAAAAAAGAACAACACACCCCCTCCAAAAACATAAAAAAATAAAAACACAGGCAGGTTAGTGTCTCATCTCTCCCTCTCCCACTGATCTCAGAATTGTTGCTGCTCTTAATTGGGATGGGGGCGCTTGGTTCGGTTGCTCCAGAGAACAAAAGGGGTTTTAATTAGTGGGTGTTACAAGTGTGAGTCTCATGGGAAGGGTCTATCTTGAGCTACAGTGAAGCTGGACACATTCTCTAAATCCTCATTGTGGTAAAAGCATACCCTTGTTCCCATGTGGAAATAAGACTCATTCTTAAAATGAACTCTATAGCATTGTGTGCATTAATGTGTATTAGTTCACAATATACCAGAAAGTACTCAGTTGTTCAATGTGATAAACATATACTGCTTTCTAAGAACAGTATAATGAGACCCTTACCTATCAAACGAATTAGCCACCTAGTACTCACTCGTACGAATTGGTCTTGAGATAGTGTTGGTGTTACGAACTGCTCCGAGACTTGGAGATGAAGATCCAAATGCAGCTTTATTTAAGATTAGTCGTACAGGCAGGGTCGAGAATTAGCAGACAGGACAATGGAGAATACACAGTGGGAATCCGG